TCGCACCAATCAATCGATGGAAAAATTTAAAATTCAATTAAATCTTATTATTTGTATGGAATTTGGTTTTGAATGTAACATATATATCTTTGCGTATGACTAGACGTTGCCTGTATACTCCACACGTGAACTTCTTCATTTTCTTCTTCTTGTTTCATCTTTATAAGTACAACCATTAAATAGTTCGCCTTTCCATACTCCTTATACAGTCGAGAAATATGAATTTCTTACTAGAAAGTAAAAGGCCTTAACAATTTTCTTTCCCTTTTTTAACGCTGCTTGCTCACAAATGTCTCAATGAAGAAAAAAGGTATACTATACAAAATATTAATTAATCATGAAAAATATAAAACGCAACCTTATATATATGTGTGTGTATATATATAATTAATCTGGTGTCAACTGCCATAGAATTAAACGGAATTTTTTATAAAATTCAACCTACCAACTAATCAGTTAATAAAATTTTCATGATGAGGAAAATCTAAAACAAAATAATAATGATATAGTAATAGTAGTAGTAATAATACCGTTAATAAGGATGGTAAAATATCAAAGGGAATTTACCGACAAAGCCGTTCAACTCTCTCTTTCCCCCACCTCCCCCTCCCGCTCTCTCTGATACCACTATTAACAGTTATGCATATCATGTGGCTATCAACTTCAGTAAAACTTTTGATGCTCCTATTCTTATTAGCTTAGTGGGGGTACATTAAGTTTTTGTTCCCCATCCTGCCTGCTTCTCTCCTTTCCCACCCCCACCCCCGTCTTCGTACTCCTTTTTAAACTGAAAGATTTTAGCCGAAGAAAAAAGAAACTAAATATAAAGGAAGTTCAAAATTCTAAAGTGTAAAACGTTAAACGTTGTTACGTTGCATACAATAGCCAACACACTATCTAAATTAATTAATTTTACCAATACCAAAAAAAAGGGAAGCTTGATGATGCTGCATCGGTTACACTATTCTATTATGTATTTATTTATTTATTTTTGTTTTTACCCAACTTTTGTGCAACGAAAACTATCCATCCTCTTTATAACCAGGTGTACAGCGATTTAAAACTTGGGCTTAAGATTATTTGTTTGGTGTAAATACGAATTTATTAAGAGAAAGTTGTGTAGAATATACTTTGGTAGGTGGAAAATTAACATCTCCAGGATAGTGTGGGAATCTTTTTATTTAAGATACCACTTTTGTATAGTTTTCGTGCTCAAGAACATCTCCTAGTATGGCTAGGTAAAAGTGTAGTGAAAACCATCGACAGTTCGATATTAGACCATCTGGTCTAAACGGGCCACAAAGCCAGACAGCGTTGAAGGATGCTTCTCTATCATCTATTGAGTGCCAAATAAATTTCCAAAAACATCGAAGTACTACATGCTTCAAACTGCAGAGGCTATCACAGTTTGCGTGAAACAACCAGTGCTTTGTGTGCAAAAGAAGCAAGCCCAGCCCATACTACTGCCCTGGCCTTCAGTAGAGACTATAAATTCATAAATTTATATTATTATCTTTCCTAATTTTTCTGAAATTCAGTATATTTTTATGTTGATGCCATTGAACTCTAATCCATTGATATTATTATTGAATCGATGTTATTTAAACAACATTAATGTTGTTCATAACACTAATTCATTCATCCACTATAATGTATATATAACTGTATAGCCTGATGATGAAGTTATCGAAAAGAGTATGCTTTGTTCAGTATCCATCCTTTTCAAAACTTTAATGGGCATTTTTAATCGGTTTTCAATATCTCAATTGTATTGATGTTAACATGTCACACTCATTTGTTTTGCTTCAGCCTTAAATTGTCCCATACTGTAAAATTTAGACACTAGAACTACCATCTAACAAATATACGCCTCTTAGCACAGATAACTTGGTTGGATTTAGTGTGGTTGTTTTTCTGTGAACTAGTTATTCATGTTTATACAGGCAGGAGTTGTCAGTAATAACTTGTTACCTGTTCTTTTGGAAGTGTTATTTTTTTTCTTGTAAAAATCATTATTGAACCTGATGACGACTTCATTTTCTCGTTTTTATATGATCAGATAATCGGAAGTGATGCATTCCAATATTCGAAACACTTATACGTGTCATTTTCTGTTTTATTCTGTCGTTGAATATTACCGAAGGGAATCTCGAGATATCGTTGTCAAGTTGAACAGAAAGTGTTAAGTCGCTATAAGTAGTGATATAATCTGAATCCACTAATAATTCAGAAGGTTTTTCAACAGAAAGGATAATATTGTGACATGTGAGATAGGCATTCTACTGATTTTAACGTCGATAACCACAGCCAAACTTGATTGATATAGGTTGATATGACCGCCACTAATTCTAATGCCTACGACTAGGCTTTTTTAAACAAGTAATGTAATAAGAATTCATCGCAAGACCGAATTCTCTCTTTCATTCTTTTACGTTCCCAGTGGAACATAGAGCTTCAAGATTTAAGTTTCGAAGTTTCAGTAGCACTTGTGTTGTTTTTATAGATTTTGGCTGCTAGATTCACGCCCAACCTTCCATCTTTACCAATCCTACTATCGGTCAAGCAAAGGGTTCAGGGGTGAATCAGCAAGAAGTAGAACCTCGACTACGCATACTCTTGTCGAGTATTCTAATCTTGAGCCACTGATGCATGATGGCCGAATACCATTGCCTATTTCCAATTACTCCTAGAGCCCACTCAAGTAAAGGCAAAAAAACAAAGTGGGGAAAATGATCGACTTCATTGTACAAAAAATACATTATTTATAAATATTACTCACCTCGGAAGGTTAGGCCAATAGATGACTAGGTTAATTGGTTGCATAAGTTTGGGCTTCATTGCTTTTTCGATCGAATTCTAATAGATATTCTGTCTAAAACCGGTGGTTTAGTCTGTCCAGACTGGTTCACGCTGGTTTTAGCCCTTTTTGGGGGATTAGATAAAATTAGGGGTATATTTTTATTTTATTTTTGATCACAGCTTGATTCCACACTCTATTTTTGGTACAAGTATGGAATTTTCAGCATGGATATCGGTAGCCCAAATTTCACAGGCCGACCATAGATATCAGGTGTGCGTCGGCGTGGGCTCGAACCCCGGACCATGTGCATGGTCGTCGAGATTCCTAACCACTGTGCCACCGACGCACACAGTCAGGCTAAAACTCCCCTGCTATATATTTACTATTCACAATTAAATTGTATGTGGTTTGACAAAAGCTCTTTGGCTTCATTCATAATTTCTTAAGACCTTTACCACATCCATACATCAAATATTCATTAATCAGGTATTTTGCGGAGATCTATCTGCCTACTTATAATTTGTAAGTAGCTAAATAATGATTGCAACAGAATTTCCGGAAAGTAAGCATACGCGTGAACATACCTTATACTAAAAACCATCATTTTCTCTCTTGTTAAAATGTTAACAGTTATTCGTGACATATTTCTACATTATATATTCATTCAATTTTAAGGGAGAGCCATATTGCATTATCTAAGTAGAATCCCCACAGAAAATAAATGCCACTGAGGGTTACAAACAAATTCAAGTTGAATTCAGTATTTTCCTGACTATTCATGAAGTTTTCTTAATAAGGTAGTCCCCGATACTAATCGAATTACTTGTTATTCCATTATGGGTAAATTTTGTTTTGATAAAGTCTCACAGTGTTGTTAGTCTATAAAGTTGTACCATATAATCCTCGTAAATATGCAACGTCCATATCAGCTTAATTTAATATCTCGCTCTCTCCGTTACCAGACGGACTAGTTCTTATTTATCTAGTGTTATATACAAAAAGAGTTAGAGCAGTTTAGCGAAACACGTACAGATGAACCAAACGGAGGAGTTATATGAGTATAGTTGTTCATTCTCTATGCGATACGGATAAAGTCACAATGAATTTAATATCCATAAATAAAGCTCCTATGACTGGAAGCCACTCAGCCCGTAGTAGTGTTACAACAGAAGGCAAGACACGGAAGCCAATGTATACTTATCATTAATCATACCGCTGTCTATATATTTACAGTTTATATTAGTTAATCAATCATCGAGAGTGTGATTTCGGTTTATATCAAACGACATGAAAGAGAATGTTCAAATATACAGGGTATTCTGTCGCCAATGCAGTAGTGAACTGTGGGAATAAGATTCCGACTCTAACATCAAATAGAATGTTCAAATAGATCTATCTATCGTATTCTGTTGTGAGTGTCGAAGTGAAGTGTGGAAATATGTGAGAATAACATTCCGTTGGCCCACATTGTCTGTATCACACCACCACAGTAGGTCTGGTTGTGCAAAATAACAGTATGCTTCAGATTTAAATAAAATCAGTGTTCGACCAAGTCATTCATACATAGGAAATAGGTCGACCATAATTGGTTCCATCTTGTGCCAACGTTATTTAGGGAGATCATAGAAAACAGAATATCATGGAATTCCAAATCAATAAGCACATATCACTGCATCAAAGATGGAAGTCATAGCTATCTGATCAAGAAGTGAGCAGTGCTGCGGAGTAATATGGTCAGTTACTTCCAGTTTCTTCTAACAAACTCGCTTGAATTTTCTACCTATTATTATTACTAAAGACTTCCTGAAGTTCTAATGTAGAACTTTAAGGTGTACCAGAGCAGACAATCAACAATGGTTCTGTATAGCTTTGATGCTAAACTGTGATTGTCAAAGGCTTCAGATCATAAGTAAACGGATTCACAAACGGTTAAACGTTAAAGTGCTCTCCTCTTAACCTAGTTGTGTGTTAACTCGATCGTAACCGGACTGAACTGAGACGAAACATTCGTCTATTGTTCTTCATTCTACAACGATACAGTCTCATTTAACATGGATTTTTGACAAAATGAATTAGCCCACCACAACCTTAATAACTCGATTATTATTTTTATGCTTAACTAAAGTCACAAATTTGTGAAAATTTACCATAAAGATTTTAATTAATTAATTATTTATTTATTTATTTTGATTATCTTCAGGAAACCTGTGATGATCCATTTGAAGAATTTGTATCCCCTGTCCGCGGTACACCACGTTGTTGTCGTAAATGTGATGTTGGCAATGGTATGCTTAGACTATGCTCAAATACAGAAAATACTCAATGTCGACCGTGTAAATCTGGTTTCGAGTTTTCTTCTGTTAGAAGTGCTACAAAAAAGTGTATGCAATGTCGACGATGTGAAGAAGTGAGTAATCCTTACCGACTTATCTAGTCTTTATGTTGAAATGATGTCTTCAATTGTATATTTGATGAATTTCCTTTTTTCGACATGTTCAGTGATTCCGTGTAACAGCTCACCCAAGACTGTTTAATTCAAATCTAAACTTAGGACGTTTTGTATGAGATGACTTCCTAAATCTGTGGATTATCACTGTCTTTACATTGTCATTATATTGTTCGTGAATAATTTATTCTGATTTACAGAATATGAAGACAACTTTCAGTAAAAACTGTCATTCCTTAAACGATTCTTAGGAATCTAAACATAATCGCTTTTAATCTAGTGTCTGCGTAAGAACACTTCACATGACAATTCATAACATCATATAATAAACACTTTGGTTTCTAAATCATTGTCAAAGTGAAGTACTGAATGAAACTACCCAGTATTTTGGCACTTGTCGGGTACCGTGTTCAACCTAGGTTAAATACTTGACATAAGAATTAATGTCTTCATTACCTTTGTATATATGTTATTCTACGTGTCATAGGCGTCAGTAGCACAGCGGTTTAGTGGTTAGGACGCTCGCTGATCATCCACATGGTCCGGGGTTCGATCCCCTTTGCCTTCTAAATTTGGCCCATGGATATCACAAACTGAGAATTCCATAGTTTTACAAAATACTGTGAAATCAAGCTGCAGTTTTTTAAAAAACAGCTGTTAGCGCTGAATCATTTAGGTAGTTACTTATTTCCTACAGAAATTGTAGTGACCAGAACCCACGCGTTATGGTCTGAATGTAAGAAACCAATCTGTACGTTCCACTGTACAGCTAAAGTGAACTTCGTTGGGTCCCACACTGTCACAAAATGCCTGAACGATAGCGAATCTTGGTTATTCGAGCTAAAATCTGTGGTACTATTTGATGATTATAACATACCAAAACTCAAAATTACCTCAGCAATGCCGTTTTGCAGCTATACATATCAAATTAGGACTTAGATACAAAGCAAGTACAGTGCAACGGAATTAGTCAATCGAAATTCAACTGTAAGAAGAAGTACCTGAGAGTCAAGGGGAATTTTTCCAACAAGGCAGGATCAGATAACTGTCAGAGATAATCATGCACCAAACAATTCTCGCAGATAGTCAGTCCAAGGTCGGAATAATTTTGACTTACTCAAACTCACTGTCAGTGTCATCACACAGCCAAAAAATAGAAGCATTAAAAGTAAAGATTAAACAGGAACAAAGTGAGGTCCATCCAGTCAAGTGTGTAGATGGAGTTCCCATCGATGACACTGGTCGGTGGTCGCGCTAAATTGCCAATTGGTAGGAGCTAGAATTCACTGGCTATTGAATCGAGTCTCAGTGACTGAATGGTATACGAGCTTGCCCTGTAACCGGGAAGCCCTGCGTTCGAACCCTAGGGGTGGCTGCGTACTGCCGATGATTCCCAAACTAGGATGAAACAGCTGTCCAGTACTCCAGTGCTGGTTTTCAATAGTTCCCTAACTGATATCAATCTGTGGTCAAACTCGTATAAAGAAATACAATCCTTACAAACCAAACTCTTGAAAATCAGAATCAAACCAAAATATGATATGCAAGTGCCAGAACAATTATGTAGAGTTAGTCCAAGAGGAAGGAGGAAAATGACTGCAAAGCTGTTTAAAACAGCCAATTAGGTATAATAAAAAAAATAATTTTTCCTTCACGTTCCCAGTGGAACATAGGGCTCCAAGCTAGTGGCTTGAAGTTTCTGTAGCAGAGTTTAATTTTTACAGGATGGGGGTCGCTAGCCTCATGCCCAACCTTTCCTCTTTACCAGCATTATTTCTGGCTCAGTGAGGTAAAGGAGTTCGCCGGCCGGGGATCGAACCCCGGACCATATGCATGGTCGGCGAGCGTGCTAACCGCTACACCACCGACGCACATAACCAATTAAGTATCATTATTGTAATTAGATTGTAGTTCAGAAGAAACTTCGCAAACAGTTATCCCGTTACAAAAAATAGTAGATACTCCTTGGTGCTCAACCCATCAGTCTCTACAATAATCCTATATGAGGTTAATTTTAACCCAAACACACCAATCAGCACTTTGTTTGGTAAAACTCTGTATGTTACAGAAACACAAATCTATAAAGAAGATCATCAGTATTCTCGAGATCTTGGATATGCTTTTCTAGAAAGCCTTAACAAGCTTAAACTTAAAGTCAGGTAGAAATTTTAGCTCATCGACTCCAACAGTTAAAATCACTAGAAATTAAATTTTTGTCTCGAATCTCCAAGATTTGTGATCATTATTGGGAACTTGCTCGACAGGATACAATTAGCACTTAGGACTACACGAAAGGAATTCAGTTATTCTTTAGTGTCAAATCAATACAATCTGTTGTTCCCTCTAATGTACTCTAAGGACTCAAATGACTATCGAGTACCTTAATTTTTTTTTACAAAGTCAACTGTAAAAGAATAGTATAAGTTTACTGAACGATTATTGAAAAGGTTCTTGTTATTTGTTCAGTGAATAAAACAACTCAACTGTGGGATACAATCTGATTTGTATTATATTGTTGTCATCAGATATGGCGATAGGAATGATTGCATTAAAAGCGAATTATATTTGAGCTTCATATGAATGAAGCAATTGACCTATAAGACTAATTTCCATTCGATAACTTTCTTTTTTCATCCCTATTCGTTCTGAATGGAGTATAGAACCTTCATTAGCAGTGGTATATTTTCCTACGAGATAGAGTTGCTAGCTTCATCATACCCAATCTTCCCTCTCCTTACCAGAGTTACCAACAGAACTACTGAAGCACGACTTAATAACTGACTTGTCTAAATTATCAATCTAGTTTGATTGATGACACAAACTGAGTCCTGGGTCACTAACTGGTTGCATTCCTACTTCTCTAACAGAATGCAGTACACCATATACAAAGGTAAATCCTCCTTTCCTGTGCTCACTGAAGCTGGTGTTCCCCAAGGTGCTGAGCTCCCCCCACTTCTCTTTTCTTTCTTTCTACATGACTTATCATCTTCAAGTGACATCAATTTTGTCAAATATGCTGACGATCTGACTGTATCTTTGCCTGTCAAATGTTAAAGTGACTGCTCTAAACTAAATGGCTTTTTATCAGAAATCAGTCAATGGTCCAGGGGAAACGGTCTTACCTTAAATCCCTCCAAATGCCAAACAGTCAATTTCACCTTTAGGCATAAATCTGACCTAAACAAACTGGTTAGCATTCATGAGGTGTGCAACATAGATGGCACTGAAATAGAAACCAAGTCGGAAATTAAATACTTAGGCGTCATTCTATTTGCTGATCTTTCCTGGTCGTCTCATATCTTGATGATTTCTAAGGAAATATTCGTTCTTATTCCATCTGGAATAACCCAACCCTTACTCTTACAATTCGTTAACTCGTGCATCCTGCCTGTTATTCTCTCTTGTTCCTCCTTAGTTTTTCCACGGCTACTGAAGAAAGACTATTCAGGATGTTAAAGGTTGTCAGCAGGGTAAGCAATGTGCCACTTGACCAGCTTCTTAATATTCTGGTTGACAGACACTTGGACTCATGTGAAAAATGGGCTAAATCCATTTTATCTAACTCACACCACCCTCTTCATTCACAACTCTGCCCTTGGGTCTCATCAGGCAAAACCAGAAGTCTACATAGAAAACTATATGCTCGCACTGGCAAGTACAAAAACTCAACCATACCCTACTTAGCTCGTTTTCTGTGCGATAGAGAAAGCGCCAGGCGTGATACCTATAACTTATTAAATAGTCAGTAAAACTACTGGATCTCGTCTTTCCGACTCATATCATTTGTAGGTACAACGTTTTCTTTTCCTTTTCTCTCTCTTTTCTCTTATGTGCTGCTTTGTTTCTTTCTTCTGCTTACGCCAGTAAATATGCTAGCATCTACTTTTCTAACACCTTCAAACATTCTATTCAATTTTGACTTTGCTACCGGCATGCCAATATGTTATTACCATAATGAACTGAGATTACCCTTAACCTACGTAGAATTTTATTTATTGACAATGTACTAACTGGATGCAATACTGTAGCGAAATGCTGAGAATTCCATTCTGTATCACAAGTACTGTTTTAAAATAAAGCAGATTATTATTATTATTATTTTCTACTTGGTAGATATTGCTCAAAAGTTTCAACAGCAAACAGCTTTTTTGCATTTATTAGAATCTTACTGGGGAAAAAATTAACACTAATTATATTGACATAGTTAAAAAGTTGATTCAAGTTGTTGATGAATTCCTCAATAACTAGACATTTTCAAATTCATATTAAGAAATTTACTCTGGCCATGGTAGGGCCAGAGAATGTAGGTATCGTTTTTGTATGCACAGGTCCGGTTTTAGATCTCGAATAGCTAATGCCTCAGCTATGTACAGATGTCGTATCCGGAGTCCTTTTGTACGATATTGAGGGACTCTATGTACCACTCTGAAGCATTCATGGGGGGTGCTCAATGTCCGGTGATGACAAGGTGTTCGAGGATTGAGCTGTTGCCATTGTTCTTTTCTCCTCTGGCTAACCACAGAAGAAGTGAGTAGACAGAAAAGAACCGTGATGCTTGAATGAGTACGGAATTCTATTGCTTTTAAAATATATTTGTTTCGCTATCTTTTATCCTTTGATGAATTTATGCCAAAAAAACAATTTTTTTCACGTTTCTTTTCAGCTTCATCCTTTAGCAAAGACACGTACTGAATGTACTCCTACTACAGATACAATATGTCAGTGTGAAAAACCATTTTATATGTCAGAAAAAGAACAAACATGTAAACCGTGTACTGCTTGTAAACCTGGTGAAGGTATAGTTAAGTAAGTTGAAGTCATTTTCTGTGAAAAATTTTCGCATTGTTGAATGTATCAAATTACTGTACATGTATTTGTAATGGGAGTTAGTACTTCGTTTAATATTTAGAAGAAAACCATTACCCAAGATTGCATCCATTCTTGTGATTCTCCCTTCCCCAGACATTTAGATACACCAATCATACATGTATATATATGTAGTCTTTATATTGGAGCCAGTCATTTTCCTGTGATTACAGACAGTAATATTGCTCCAAATATTGTCTAAATTGAAATCTACCATTGTATGTCGACAAATATACGCGTGAAAATATCAACTACTTGTCTATATGTTAGTAGTATAACTCTAATGACTAAAATTTGCCTTCAGGTATTTGACAGTGTTATTCATATAGACAACTACATAAAAAAGGTTAAATAATTTAAAATGTAACAAAACTACATGCAATAATACTTACACACTAGACACATAAATCAGATTTTCAGTGTTAATGAATGTTAATTATTATTAGTAGTAGTACTAGTGTAACTACTACAAAGAAGAATGAAAGAGATTGCTATTGAATAAAAATGGCAGTACTTCATTTGTTTACGTTCCTGAGTGTATGTTGGCGTAAGCAGAAGCGCACACACACACATACAAAAGTGCACATATACATACTTTTAGACACATACAGTAACTCTTTGATCTTTACGCATATATTTCGCTTATTATTATACGTAAAATATGCTATTTCTTAGCAAATTTTGTGCATTCATCAAATACTTTTATTTCTACCTAGTAATGCTATAGACAATAGGTGTATAGATGAATTTAATCCATTTACAATCACCTTTTCTTTGGATTTTATTCAAACCTGTAACCTTCATATTACTACTGCGCATATTACTGCTGACCAACATTTTTATCATTAGGTTGGAATCAAAAACAGTTGCCTTGATGCCAACAGATATTACTTAACTTGTAAGCATTAGAAGAAAATGAATTCATTTGTTGTTAATTTATTATCGATTTTTCCATTGATTGATTGACTGAACGTATTTCTCCGCCTCTGTTGACATAACAACTTATATCTGTTGTACAAGAGGTGGTTCTACTGACTCAAGTAGTCTAGTGGATAATATCCTTTGGCGTTTAAAAGGATAGATACCAGGTTCAAGTCTCAGGGCAAAACATTATCACTGACTCACTGCTCAATACAGGTACATCCAACTGACGAGTCGAAAGCAGTGACGAAATATGCAGCCTAGATTCCAATTCTAGTCACCTCCCACTAAATTACTTTCGAAAATGGATTCACTGTATTTAACTAAAAATAATAAGCATAAATTAAAACTAATATTAATGAGAATACTGTACCCATAAGTATACATGTTTGTTCAAACGAATGAAAATGAAGTAAGAAACTTTCACTTCCTTTCAGTCCATAATTTCCTCTTGTGGTCTGGTATACCCTTATGGACGTGTATGTGTGTGTGTGTGTGCAGTTCAGGTCTACACCATCAGAGATGAATAGGTGACTAAATTATACAGTTATAAATGAATGAAATTTCGGTACTGCAGTAGCGTATAATTCCATGTTACCTTATCTTTTGGATATATTAGTATTACTTACTGGATTACAGTTCAAACTCAGTTATGTTAGTGTATTCACTGAACTTTCAATCTTTATTTTTACACTTGTACAACTCAACATACCTATATATCTGTTCTTGTTGATAGTAGAGTTGTTCAGATAGTAACGGATAGGAAGTGTGAACAATACTTGTTAATTTCATGAACAAAGCTTCGGTAATCAACATTTCTCCAATTAAACATATTGACTTTACCAGCCACTAATTTTTCCGCATTCTTGTATGTGGTGTTAACACTCACTTACTTTTATGTGAAGGCTAATCACACTATTCAGTTGCCTGGTCTGAAGTATTTATTATATATGTAATTATTCCCTTAGGTTCCAAGTGGAATATACGGCTTCAACAGCCCATCTCTGTTTCATCCTGTTTTCTACAGTCAACTTTATCTGGCTACACGATTGTTCATAGGATCTCATTTCCTCTTCCCCTGACCTACTTCCAAGTTATCCTAGGACGCTTAACCCGTCTGAAATAGGTAGAGAGAAATTTGAACAAGAGATTCAGTGGTTGTCATTGATACATATCTGTTTGTATTTCTTTCACCTCACTTATTGCTTTATGACCTGACTTTCTCTCACCCTATTTATGACCTTTGAAATCCAACTGGTTGTTCACTGTCTCAATACATCAGTGACGTTAGTGCTTCTCAAGGTCATTTTAAACATATATATATATATATATATATATATATATATATATATATATGTGTGCTCAACCTGTCATTCTTTTTAAACTGTTGTTTTGAGACCGTAAAAGCTCTTCTAACAGCGTCCAGTCTTCTCCTCTGTCTTTGCGTGCTGGCCGTGTTACCGTCATTGTTGTTACATATGTGCGATTAGAACAGATCAGCCAGCGCATCAAGTTAGTATTAGCTGATAGTCTACTAGGTCATGGTTCTGGTCATAACAGGTTGAAAATCCAGTAAGTAAGCCAATCGGTCGTATATCTGACAATGTAGTTAGATTGTAGGTCAATACAAATATTGCTGTTACTGATTTATTTCTTAGAGTACGTGTCTTTCTAGGAACTTTCTATGTATATTTGGATACGTTTATTCTTCTTCGAAAATACAACTGATACCGATCGACTACTTTGATCAGTGTACTCGATTTCATAATCATTAGGTATTGTTTGATAATTTACTTCACATAATTTAAAATATAAGATGTTAGTATTCATATAGGCTGTTGAACATCCTTGCAACTAAGAGGAGAGGTATTAAGAAAGACGAAACCAATAGAAATCACAAGAATGATTATCTACTGGAGAATGTAAATATACCAAATATATATATATATATATATATATATATATATCGTTGTACTATGTGAAATGTTAGGAAAGGAAGAAATACATTGACGTATGATTAAATGATCATCCAGTCGGGCTTCACTGAGACACTACCCGAAAAACCTGACATGAGATGGTATAACCCCAGTTTCCGCTACATTTGATGTAGCTAAAAATGCTCCTGGAGGTATTTCGAAACTTCCTGTGATTTAAATTGACTCCAAAGAACTTTAAGGGATTATATTATCTTACTATTCGTCATGATCTGGATATCCTGGGTAGTAAGTGGATCAATAAGTTATCCCTTTTGAAAGTACCCTTAAATTCAGCTAGTTCACAAGTGTGTGTGTGTGTGTCTTCTCTAGCACCTGTTGACAGACTCACCAATAACCTGATCCATGTTCCAAGTAATTGTAGCAAGTATGCAGAAGCTACTAAGTCGGCGATCAGGTCAGGAATTGCATTCAGAGATCACACCTAGTATCTTCAAGGGGTTCCTCAATTAACAATGCATGAAGAACTTAAGTCAGACTACTCATAATTATTTTATTCCTGACTAATTGTTTATTTTATCTCAATTGTTAACTGATTAAAGACTATGTTCCATTAGATATTAATGAAGGACAGACTAGATTTTCAAACTATCCTGAAGGGAATAATCAAAGTTTAAAAAAGGCGTAAAACACACTCATTATTAGTAGTATAAATAGTGTGCGTCGGCGGCACAGCGATTAGGACTCTCGCCGACCATGCACATGGTCTGGGGTTCGATCCCCTGCCGACGCACACCCGATATCACTGGTTGACCTGCAAAATTTGGTCTATCGATATCACATGCTGAAAATTCCATACTTGTATCAAAAGTACTGTCTGGTTTCAAGCTATAATCAAAAAATGAATAAATAAATAAACTGAACTTAAGATCTGATTATATGTTATAGGTATACAAAAGGCTTCTATTCCCAGGTTTTACTATTTCATAAAAGAATCTGCATTCACATCTGAATTAGTCTTGCTGAGTATCATTCAACTGACGCTGAATGTAAGCCATTCTACCTTTTCATTTATGAGCACGTAATATTTTTTCAAAAATGAAGCTTTTATCAATCTTTTGATGCTTCATTCTCAAACACTAAAATATTTTATATAAACTTTTTTATTTTAAAGGCAATGTGATTGGAATTCAGATACCCAGTGTCAATCTTGTCCAGCTGGATTTTGGTCTGCACAAACTGTTGACAATGTCAAGTGTATACCATGTCAAATATGTGAGAAAAATCAAATCCTTGTAAGAGAATGTTCACCTACAACAGATACCCTATGTTGTCCAGTAAATAATCCTAATTGTACACATGAATATGCACTGCCTCTGGGTAAGTTGAAGACACCTTTTTGTCAAAAGGAATGATATTCTGTATTTACCAATCAATGGAATTCACTTCGATGACTACAGATAGGCTGATCAATAAACCTGTAATATTGATTATTTTGACTATTATTTGTATCATTTTTTTCCTTTCTTCATTTCTTTACGTTATGAGTGAAACATAGGACTTCTAGCTTCAGTTTAGATGTTTTAGTAGCAGTGGTGTTTATTTTTACGAGTTGAGGTTCCTAGCCTCATGCTCAAACCTCCCTCTTTACCAGGTTTATTACAGGTTAAGTGAACACCGCATCGGGTGGGAATCGAATCCCGGACTACGTGAGGCGTGGTCGGCGAGCATTTCCACATCGAACCACCAACACATCATTTACTGGTTTGTTTTTCAATATTTTACAAAACTGAAACCTCTCTTAATCTTCAAGATCAAAGTGTTGAGTTATAGAGAAAACATTGAAGATGAAGTATTTTCTAGTCAGAAGACTAATCACCCTCATATCTTCAATAACTTGTACATGATATTACATTTATATAAAAATTGTAACTGTAATATTTCTGTTCGTCTTTATGACTGATGTTTTGCTTAATGAAAGGTACAAGTATGGGCACTTACTTAGTCACTTGAATGTAATCTATACACATTATTTTTTCAATAATGACCTTATAGAATTGTGATTTGTCCTAATGAATTCTACTGAAGTAACATATTAAAATTCAGCTATTAATAAATCAGACTACCTGGGGAGCATCGTTTCAACTACAAAAGGAACTGATGAGGATACCAAAGCAAGGATCGGGAAAGCAAGTCAAGCTGTCATTTACTCTCAAATTTGTGTGGAGGTCAACAGCACTCAGCATGAAAATAAGATCCGGATTTTCAACTCAAATGTGAAGTCAGTGCTACTTTATGGATCAGAGACTTGGCGTGTCATGAAGAGCACCTCAAACAAACTACATACCTTGATCAGTAGCTGTATTCGCTCAATACTCAAGATCAGATGGCTGGCCAGAAAAGATCAGCAAAAGGCATCTCTGGGAGCGAACCAACCCAGCAGGAACCGATTGTGCAACATATAAGCAGAAAGAAATGGAGATGGATTGGTCATACTCTGGGAAAACCACCACACGACAGGCCCTTGAGGGAGACCCAAACGGAAATAGGCGTGTCGGTAGTCCAAGGATGACATGGAGCAGATCATGTGAAGAGGAGATGGAAGCATGTGGGCAGACCTGGAGCGGAGTGAAAACGTTGGCAGAGAACCGAATGCAATAGAGACTTGAGGCTGAAGCCCTATGTTCCTCTAGGAATTAAAGGAAATAATAATAAACCAGACTCAAATGATCTTTTAATTGAATTATATTCTCAGTGACAATTGTAGTAGTACTGTGATACTAGTGATTAAAGCACATCAAATATTTGCTGGAATAAATTACAAAAGGTATTATAAAAATCAACGTAGATAAATGATATTATTCATCCCTTATTATTCATGTGTTGCTCGTCATTATATGTGTTTGCGTGTGTGTTGGTTATTACTTTTCCTCTCATAATTCTTCTTCAATGGGCTTTTTTCCTATTGATACACAAATTATCACTTTGTCACTCTATATATTACTTATGCCTCTTAATAAGTAGTGCAAACAGCACTCCTAGTGGAACATTAAGCCTGTATGGTCGGCGAGCACTCTATCGCTATACCACCGAGGGAGAGGGCTCTCAAGTGGTTGCGCCACCGGGCTCGTCTCGCAAGAGGCAGGGATAAGTGTGTTCGGTTCTCCTGGAAACCAATACCCAGTCAGTGGGTGTACCATTAGTCTTGGGTTGTTAGATACAAATTCTGATAGAATAATAGCTTTATTCTCAATAGTGTTTACATCATGTGTAGAATTTTCAGTGGAAATGATTGTCTAATACTTTCTCTTTTTCCAAGGTCTATAAGTAAAATCATAACTGACAGTAAATCGCTTGACACAGTGCTGTGTGACCTGGAGCGGCGAAAACCAATCCACTATAATAATATATCTTCTTTGCCTCACTCGAGAAATGCACAACATTTGGTTGAAAGCCACTTCATTAAGAAAGATGGGAAGTACATTTTTTGACCATAAGACATAATCATAACTGAATAATTGAAGACTGTGAGTAATTTAGACTTCTTTCTCAGACAGTGACAATTTGTAATAAAATGCTCAGGAACAGTTATCTCATGCATTGAAACACGTTGCCAGCTACGTTGTTTTTGACGAGTTGATCGTAGATTGATATCAGTTAGGGAATCATTGAAAACCAGCACTGGAGTACTGGACAGCTGTTTCATCCTAGTTTTGGGAATCATCGGCAGTACGCAACCACCACCGGGGGTTCGAACCCAGCACCTTCCGGTTACAAGGCAGGCTCGTATACCATTCAGCCACTGAATTCTCTAACTGTATTCAATCTGTGATCAACTGGTCAAAACAAATCTAATCCTTACAAACCGAATATTGAAAAAATTACGTTTTTACTCAAATTTAGTAGAAATTTGCAAATCAGCAGGTTGAAAATATTTTAAATACTTATCAGGGTAAAATGGCACCATTAGAGATCATATTCTAATCGATTAAAACAAATTGAACAGCAGAAATGATATGTAATTATAATGATGGGGGGTATTTTGGTAGTCCAGGTTGCAAGCAGGCTGCCTTTGGTTGAAAATACTTCAGTCACTCTCTCTCTCTCTTTCTGTTCCGCTCTCAAGTCCTACTACTACTACTCTATTTTATTTAAAGTACTTTTATTAAAAAAAACAAACAGAAAATAATTCGACCCTCATGAAAAATAAGGAAAATTATTTTTTTCTTATTTCATGATCAGTAAAGTTATTCTCCTGTCAGTATTATAAATACCAAAACCCAATGCCGATTTTAACTTTCTTTGAACTTTATCGATTACTAACTGAAATAACCGAGTACTAACTAGTAACTTATGCAAATTTGTGCATCTAGTAGTAATATACATATATAGATTCTACATAAAAAGAATTTCTTTTTTGTTCCGAAAATCTTTTGATGAAGTATACAGTAGTACCGTCTACAAGCTAAAACAAAAAAGTACATTCAGAGACAGTATTATATGTCATAAATTTTGTTTTTAAAAAGTAGCCACTATACACACCCACCCACCCACCCCCACGCACACACATGCACACAAACGCACAGATATACACTCAATGACCTTTGATGAAACAGTATTCACATTGACTCGACAGACTATTTGATTCTCTTACTTTCTTTCTTCTTGAAATATGAAATATATATATACATAAATAAATATATATATATATATATATATATATATATATATATATGATTATGTGATGACTACTAGCCATTCATTACTAATGCCATTACTATCATCATCATTATTAATTCTATTCTCACATAAACCCTACTACTGACTGACTGTTATGCCTTTTTGAAAGCAGCGGGAGGAAGGGGAGAAGAGCATAAATGCCTACTAAATTTATTATGTGTATGCAGTTTTTCTCGTTTTGTTTTACTTCCCCTTCTGTCGAGCTATTTCAGTCATCTGTTTTGTATGTTGGCTATCCTGTATATGTGTACTAGGACTACTACTACTACTATTATTATTATCACTTCTAGTACTCTAGTAAAGTAAAGTGTATGTTTGTCTAGTGTGTTTTTTTCTTACCGTTATTGTTTGTTGTTAGTCTGTTTGTTAGTTAGTTAGTTGGTTAGTAAGTCAGTTAGTTACTGTTTTGTAAGCTGTTGTTTCATATTATATGTCCGGTCGGCAATTATCTTTGAAGTAAGTAGTTGTGTATGCATATATATATATATATATATGTTCCATACGCCTAAAACGGCATCAAATAAATCATCAAATGACTACGTAGCCGGAACCATTTCCTTTAGTAAAACAATTATTACCATTACTATTATGATAACAGCAGTAATAATGATAGTCATCGTAAAAATTTAAATATTCATGTGTATCCTCTCTGGTTAAGTGCATTTTCATAGAGAAAAAAATGTGTACCCTTATGCGTGTGTATGGTGCGTGCGTGTGTGTGTAGCCCATATTGTTCTGAGACATATGTCTGTCTACTAGACACTTTTAATAATTCCACACAGTCAACCATGCATGAATGAATATGGTGTCGGTGGATTGGTGAGTCTGTATATCTATCTAATACATGTTTGCACATCCTATTCATACACTTATTCGTATCGTAGTAGGACGGATAAGTAAGTAAGCAAAATGACTCTTAGATAGTGACTACTATAATAAACAACAATAACTAAAAGATAAAGAGAAAATCAGTTTAATGGAATTTTTGAATTATGTATGTGTTTTTTTTTAGTTGAAGTTAGCTGAAGTAAAAAAAATAACGTAAGTAATGAAAATTGAACTTCTAACACTATAACGGCTGAATCAGTAAGTAAAATAATGCATAAATAACGCACAACTAACTAACTAGTAGCTGTTGTTCATAAACGTATAGATATATAGACATATGAACACAGACACGTATACAATTCAATACACACACCCACGCAATACACACAAACAAAATTCAATGTAGTATGTTAGTTAATGCATACAAAATATTCAGTGACACACATACATATATACACCCACGCACATACAAATAAATGCACAAATGATATATATATATATTTGTACGCGCGTAATATAAATTAAGACAAATCAAAGGAGCCACCAAAATTTAACCGAAAAGATTTATGGTTGAACAACAAAACTTTGTTTTTTCAAAAAAAAATTTTTCTTTTACTACAATTGTTAAATATACTACTATGATAAAAATACAAAAGGGAAATAGCGGAAAGAAATAAAGGAATAAGAGTGGAACAGTCTCTTCAGCGTTATTGTTATTTTTCACTATTCATTCATATTATTATTATTATTTCATTGGATATAGAATTAAATTATTTATATTTAAATAATGTCTTAAATTTTTCAATTTTCAATGATACTAGGACTAATTATTGTTTAAAACAGAAAATAGGTTCTTTGTGTTTTAAAAAAGAAGAAGGGAGCATATGACGAAAATTAAAATCATAAATAAAAATAAAGGGTATAAAAAGTAATAGACATATCTTAAATTAATATAAATTAATATTATTATCAATATTATTATAATTAAATTTTAGTAATTGATTCACTAATCAAATTCAAATATAATTTCCAATACTCTATTTTCTCAATCACTCTTTTATCTGAAGTGTAGCTAAACGATTTATTATAATACTATGCGAGTAGAATTTCGTAGCCGATTCAGTTTGAGTAATTAAATTGAGTGGACAACTTCATTAACTGAACAATTGGACAGTTCACTCTTCGGTTTTAATTATAATAGAATAACCTTTATTGACTGCATCAGTCAGTCACCGATTGATTATGTGATTATAGTTATTGACTTATCGATGAATTGTGTTCTTAATTAGACAAAAGTTAAGGTATTGCATGGTAATAATGATAATAATTTAAATGTAGATCTCGTCAAGAAATCAAATCGTTTGGGAATCATTGAGAACCAGGGAGTACTGGATAGCTGTTTCATTCTGATCTCGGACTCTTCAGGAGTGCACACCTACGACTACAACACCAGGGGTCGAACCTTCGGGTTGTGAGATCAAGCTTAGGCCAGAATCCAGTCACCTTTGAATTCTAACTCTGACAATTCGTAATGTAGCTCTGCTCTCAGCCAGTCCATTTCACACTGACATAGTGAAAC